GAGAGGGGGATCTCATATCTAGATGATGATTTCTAAGTAGACGTTGTACAAGGTAGTGATTAGACGAGAAGTTATAAACTGAGACTGTTTAGACATTGAACTAGTAATATTATAGTGAATTTCCTTCTTGACTTGGTAGCTCTCAGAGTAGATGATGTTGCACCAAACTAGATTAACAATCAACTATGTTATTTATCATTCTACAATTTATCCTTCTACATATTTTATATTTTGATGTTATACAATGTCAGGAACAATTGCCGTAACATCTATCTTGACATTATGTTCTGATGTTGAGTCATCAGAATTAACATGTATTGTAAGTGTCAGAATTTTAGATAATATATTAATATGTATTTTTGGTATATAAAAACCTAATGTATTAAAAAAGTCATTAATATAATTTTATATTAACTCAAAAAATATTATCTTTGTATTCAAAAATATAAATTAATACAATAATTTATTAATTAAAGGTTTAATATATAATCATAAATTCCAATTTTTTGAAATATAATTATATTATTATAATAATAGAAATTACAATTGTTTTTATTTCTATTAAAACCTTTAATTAGTAAATTATTATATTATTTCCAATTTTTAAATACAACGATAATATATCTATATTAGTATTCACATTTTTTTTCGTCAGATTTATATGGAAAAAATTAAGTAGGTGTATTTTCTTAGGTGTGGTTTATGTTTTTTTCTAATAAAAATATGATAAATATATAATTTTCTCTTGTACATATGTAATTTTTTTTTTATTTTTAATTTCTTAAAAGGTATTTAAATATATTTATCATATTTTTATTGGAGAAAAATATGAATCACATCTATAAAATTATATTTAAATATTCTCCTATTTATATAATCTCAAAAGTCCTGAGGGTTGAATCAATTTTATTAAAAATAATTAAGTACTGAAATAAAATTTATTTCTTTCATATAAATTTTTTAATTGTTATACACCATCTCTATAAATAATTGTATATTGTCTATCCATCAAAAATATTTATAGACATGATTTTAAAAATTGTTATTCTTATAATCAAATATTTCTAACAAGATAAATAAAAATTTACCACTAATTGTTAGCTAATTTAATAGTGATTCAGGCTCACACAAATTTTTTTTCCGTTTGATTTAGCAACAAAATATTAGAAAAATCGGAGATTATGATTGTGATTTATTTGAGCTATGTCTAATTCATTTATTCTCATTCTTTTAAGTTTTAAGCGTATCTTATACATCTGTCTGTGTGTTTCATTACCATCACATGAACCTATTACAAGTTTAAAAAATAAACCAATAGAAAAGGAGATGAAGATCATATAAAAACAAAAAAGAGAGAATTTAAGCATTTTTGTTTCCATTCGCAGAAAGAAAACTGCACAAAAGGAAGTTGAATGAAGCACTCATCAATCAATATATTCTTATCCCATTTTACACTATTAAAAAGCTCCTTTCTACTTGCTATGAAAAGATGAAACCAGCCCTCATTTCACAAATACTATTCTATATAAAGTGCTCTATATATAAAACTGCATTGCAGCAACTGCACCTATATATTCTCAAAACCCTTTGAATATTTTTTACAAGTTCTAAATTTCATCCAATCAACATGAACCATATTCACTTTGGGAATGAAAGAGAGCAAATTCTAAAGAAGAGAAAATCATGTGATGAAGCCAATACCAACATGAAAAATTCAAAGAGAAGATTATGCAACAATAATAAAAATGAAGAAGAGAAAAACAACAACAACAACAACAAGGGATCAGTGTCCACAACACTGAAGCTTTACGACGATCCATGGAAGATAAAGAAGACACTAACCGACAGCGATCTAGGAATCTTGAGCAGACTCTTGTTGGCTGCAGATTTAGTAAAGAAACAAATCTTGCCTATGTTGGATGTTGATGAAGCAAGGGCTGCAGAAACTGAGGAAGGTTCCCCGGTTCATGTTTGCGACATGGAAACAAACACCATGCATGAACTCGTTCTAAAGCGATGGTCTTCCTCCAAGAGTTATGTTCTTATTGGAAAGTGGAATCAAGATTTCGTTAGAAGAAGAGAGCTTAAGAAAGGAGATGAGATTGGATTTCAATGGGATCCTTTTAAACGTACTTTCAATTTCTGTGTTCTTAAACGGGCCATGCCCATCTGATAATTGATCATCTTCACTTGTTTCTAATAATCTTAAATTTGTTGTGTAATGTTTAATATATACCTAGTTGATGTTCAATTTATATATGCTACTTAATCATGTAAACATGTCATGCATATTGCAATCAATTGAAACATTCAAACTAATTTTTATTTATTTCAACATACTTCTTATCTTATGAATATCTTTTTTCTACATTCTTCACTTTCTCTTATAAAGCCAGCTGGACAGCTCTAATACATACATACAGACAATAAAACTTTGGAGTAAGAGGATCTTTTATGTGAATATATTAGAAGTAAAATTAAACTAGTGATACAAAATCATATGATTTTAACAAAAAAAAGTATCACATGATTTTTCCTAAAAAAAGAATCAAATGAATTCAACCTCCGATTTTTAACCGTCAATATAAATGTACGTTGTTGATTTTATGATTATCCATATTGAATGTAAGTCAATATTGTTGGGTTTCAAGTATGAAAGTTGAGTTAAAGTCTCATATCGATTAGGAATAGAGGAAATATTGAGTTTATAAGAGAGGTGAACCATCAAATTGCCTCAAGGTTTTGGATGAATATGTTGTGTCAAGGTATCTTATAATCATAGACGTTTGGCCCATTGAAACTTCCGGATTTCGCTCTACAGACTTTCTCAACAAGTGGTATCAGAGCATGGTTGGCTTGATGGGGGAACGGAATTGGATCCTAGTGTGGATCAAAGCTAGTGATGTGGGTGACTTACACTTGTGGAGGAGATTATTGGGTTTCAAGTGTGAAACCATCTACGGAAACAAATATTTTGTTTCGTTTGTTGATGAGTACAGTTGAAAGCGCTGAATCTATGTGATCAAGCGAAAGGATGGAGTATTTGAAATCTCCAAGAGATTCAAGATACTTGTTGAAAACTAGAGTGAAAAGAAGATCAAAGTTCTGCGAACAGATGGATGTGAAGAATACACATCCAAGATGCTTGAATATTTCTTTGTAGAACATGGTGTCGATAATGAGGTACTTGCTCCCTATACGCCTTAACATAATGGAATTGCAGAAAGAAGAAATAGAACCATATTGAATATGGTGAGATGCATGCTGAAGAATAAGATTTTTCTAAAATCCTTATGGGGTGAAGCTGTTTTGACTACAATTTATATTCTGAACAGGCGCCCTACCAATAAATTGAAGAACAAGGTTCCTGACGAAGTGTGGAGTGGCAAACGGTCATCAGTGAGCCATTTGAAGGTGTTTGGATCTATGTGTTACAAGCATGATTCTGGTGCGAGAAGAAGGAAGCTTGATGACAAGAGTGAATCTATGATTCTTGTAGGATGTCCTAAAACTAGTGCATACAAGATATTCAATCCAATCAATGATAAAATTGTGAAGTAGAGACATTGTGATTGATGAAAATTCTGTCTGGGTTTGAAATTCTAATGATGCAATTAATAAGTCATTGATGAGCTATGGTTCCGACGAAAAAACTGATGAAGTCGAAGTCAAAGAAATTGCTGATATTCCAGTCGAAGTCGAAGCAGTTGATGACATTCTTGACAAGTCGAAGTCGAAGAGGGTGTGGCTAGCACAAGCCAAAGAACTCAAAGAACTAGAGCTTGTCTAACAAGACTTCAAGACTATGAAGTAACTGGTGATGATGAAGCAACACGAAAAGGAGAATTAGTTCATTTTGCTTTACTTGTAGGTGTTGAACCAATAAACTATAGTGAAGCTTTAAAGAATAGAAAATGGAGGTCAGATATGATCGAAGAGTTACAAATAATCAAAATAAAAAACACTTGGGAGTTAGTCAAATTGCAAACATACACAAAAGCTATTAAAGTGAATTGGGTGTTCAAGTTGAAACACAACACTGATGGGTCAATAACAAGACATAAGGCAAGATTGGTAGCTCGATTTCTTCAGAGATAAGGACTCGACTACTCTTAAGTATTTTCTCCAGTAGCAAGATTGGAGACTGACCAACTAGTGGTAGCCTTGGCATGCAAGCAAGGTTGGTCAACATTTCATTTATATGTGAAATCAGCATTCTGAATGGTCCTTTAGACGAAGAGTTTTATGTCACACAAGGTCTGTGATTCAGAAAGAAGCGAATAAGGTGTATAAGTTGCCCAAAGTGCTCTATGGCTTCAAGTAGACACTTAGGGCATGAAACAAGATGATCAACTCATACTTAGTCAAATTGGGGTTCTTCAAATGCAAATGTGAATATGATGTCTATGTTCTGGTTGTGCCACAAAATATAACGATCATCTGCTTACATGTCGATGACTTGCTGATAACTTGAAATATCTTGGAGAACTTGTCGAAATTCAAAGAGCTGATGATGAGGGGATTTGAAATGTCAGATTTGGGAAAATTTTCTTATTTCCTATGTATGAAATTTTAAACATCGAAGCAAGGTATGGTGCTGCATCAAAAGAAATATGTCAAAGAAATACTCAAGAGATTTAGGATGGATGATTCGACTCCTACATCTTCGCCTAACGAATCAAATTTAGAGTTAAAAATAACAGTTCATAGAAGTTCATTACTGTAAAATATAATGATAAAAACAAATGCAAATAGATATCTAACATTTATCATTTCAAATTCATACAATCTTCTTGATACAAAGGTAGATTAAAAAGTAGCACATTCGATGTAATATCATCCAAATATTGTAAAGTTAATTGAAAATACAAAATAAAGTAGTCATAGCTACAACCAAAACAACCCCTAATAACTCAGAATATATTCAAGATCAAGTCCCAAAAAACATACACAAAAAGTAATCACATCCGAGATTAATTTGTTCTACTAATAGTACAAGATCATTCTTCATCTAATGACAGATTGTCCAAATCATCATCATAATGATGAGAATGTGATCCCCTAGTTGTAGCCTCAATTTGTTCAACACTAATTCTAACTGCTCTTTCAGCTTGTTGGGTAAAACTTTTTGATCCAAACACTTGAACATCATCTACATTCCCTTCTGTAGTTAGCTGAAGTTCTGCATCAAGTTTCTCTTTAAAATCCTTCTGTACAATAGAAAAAGTTGCTAACATGTTAAGACAGTGATAATATTCAAGTAATATTGAAATTCTGCATAATATTTTAGTAGCTAACAAGGATGAAGTTCTGCATAATATTGTAATAGGCTAATAGGATACCAAATTGATAAGGTGTATAAATTGAAAATGACTATTAAGACAGTACATAATATTGAAGTTTAGCTTGTAAAATAGGATTAGCTTTTAGCTTGTAAAATATTCACAGTTAACATTAGCTGCCGATTCTTAACTTGAGAAAAAAATATGTATTAGCTTATAAGTGTAGAGAATTTAAAAAAAAAAAATATTAGCTTATAACAGTAGCTAAAAAAATGTGTATATCCTGCATCAATTTAAAATTTTCCCTCATCATAATTAATAACCTAACTCTACTAACTTATCTCATAGGTAATTAGATGAAGTTTGTTCACCATTGTTTGCTCTTCATCCCATGCACCGTACCTTTTTCGACATTGGCACACCTACTGAGGTTTGAGGCATAGTCATCTGGCATTCTCAATTCCTTAAGCCATTTACAAACCAACTTGGCTTCAGATTTGGAAAGAGTGTATCTAGCCTTGGGTTTACCATTCTTTCCGTTTTCTAAGGGTTGAAGTTCCAAGTCCCGTAGAAAGCATAATTTAGCCAAGTCTTCTCTTGCCTTTTTGTTATCCTTTGTTTTGTCTTTAACATTCATGACCGTGTTAAATGTATTAATGAAGACATTTTTTCTGTGCATCACATCGAGGTTATGCCTTAACAAATTATCTTTCTAATATGGATCACTTTTTCCCATTATGATTCACTCCATAACCTTCAAACTCTTTCCATTTTGCTTCCCATCCAATTTCAGTCACTTTTGGAAAATTACTTTTTACTGACCATATATCTTCCCTTCTAATAATGGGAGGTGGCTCGTCTGTCACAACCCTATTTTTCAGAAAACATCTTTTACTCTTTCTGAAGGAGTGATTAGCTGGCAAGAAACGATGATGATAGTCAAACCAAGAATTCTTATGGTCCTTTTTCAAGGTGAAAGCATCAATGTGTTCCATACAATGAGGGCATGCCAATTTATCTTGTATTCCCCATCCAGATAACATACCATAGGCAGGAAAATTATTGATTGTCCACATCAAGCAGACTTTCATGATGAAATTTTGTTCTGTAGATATATCATAGGTTAATATTCCATTGGACCACAATCGACGTAGATCATCAATCAATGGTTGCAAGTAGACATCTATCTTCAATTTAGGGGTTTTAGGTTTGGGTATGAGACAAGCCAAAAACAAGTATAGTTTGGTCATGCACATTTCAGGGGGAAGATTGTACGGAGTAACTACTATTGACCAACATGAGTATGGAGAAGAAGATGCTTGAATGTAAGGAGTAAATCCATTTGAACATAGACCCAACCTTACATTTCTAGGTTCCCTAGCAAAGTCAGGATATACACCATCTAAGTGTTTCCACGCTTTTCCATCTGACGGATGGCGAAGGATGTTGGAACTATTTTTGTTCATGTGATGTGATAGGAAAAATAACAAGATTACTATTTTGTCTCTTGTAATAATAGGGAGATTCTCCGAATGTCGATCTCAAGGACCGCGTGCAATTATCGAGTTAAATTCGTAGTGAAATTAAACAAAACTTGATATGGGTTTTGGTTTTGTTATTGTCACTTAACAGAAATTAAAAATAAGCACAATGTAAATTAGGGCTTTTGCAAATATGAGCAACATACTAGGGTGTGGTGTGTAATTTACCCTGTAACAACCTTGAATCCTGATTTCTTCAACAAGTTCATAAAACTAATTACCAACCCTTTAGGTTATTTTTTCCTAAGTCTTTAGTGAGAAAACCTTTGAACATTCATCCTACATCCTAAGTCCTTAGAGATATCTGATTGAGTTAAGCCTTTGTTTTATCAAGAGTTTCTGGTAACTTATAAGGTATCCCTAGTTCTAGGTGATATCTACTATAGTCTAATCCTACAAAAACCTTAACAACTGCGGTCCAACTGGTTGTTAACCGTAGATCTATCCTAATTGGTCCGATCAGGAAAGCATAAAGACATTGCACGATTAAATTGAATATTAAAAACCATGGAATTGATAAAATAAAAAATTCAAAGTCATTACAGATTCAAATCAGGGACACCCCCTAGCATTAGGGGGGGTTATCTACTCATATTGTTCAAAATAATTTCAATGATATAAAGATTAAATATTACAGATAAATAATGAATTTTGATCTTCAATCGCCGTGGCTCATGAAAAATCTATGTCCTCCAAGAATCTCATGTGTTGCACTCTTCAATCCTCAATTCTCCGTGTGGCCAAAAGTCCTTGTTTTCCTCGTGGAAACTCCTATTAATAGAAAAACTCATTTAGGTCTGTTGGAAGTATCCAAAATGTCCCCACAGCTTAACAGATGAACAAAATAACCTGAAATACTAAAATCAGCGTTATAACCTAATATAGGCCGTGTAAGGCAACACAGGTTCCCGTGTTGGACCTCTGGAAATTTGTCTTTTTTTCTTCTGATACAGACCTTTTAACACGGGTCGTGTCAGTTGACACAGACGCCCGTGTCAGCCCCCTGACTTTCCATTTCCTTTGTGTCGTCCTAGCCTTCACCCTGACATGGCCCGTGTCAGGTGACACGGATGGCCATGTCAGGCCTCCTGTAGGTGGATATTTGTATTTCTTGAAAAACTCTGAGTTTTGCACTGATTTGTCTTGATTTATTCTTTTGAACTTGAAAACAATAAAACACAAAACTAAAACATAATATGCGATAAAACGAAATAAAACCTCGACAAGTAAAAGAAATGATAAATAAAATAAATGCTAAATATTTGTGTAAAAGCCACTGATCAAACTCCCCAAACTTAAACCGTTGCTTGACCTCAAGCGACTATTACAAAAATGCATGAAAAATCACAATAGACCGGTACTCATACGTGAGAAATCTGTTCCAATTGATCAAAAAGCAGTTCGTCCGATGTTCACATGACGAGAAGAGTTTGTTTAAGAACCTTTAAATCTCGAGCTTCCTCTTCAGATACCTCTCTAACTATACTTTGTACTTAAGTCTCTTTTCGATTTTCCTCCTTTTTCATGCGGGCAGTCAAATTAAGGCAATGAGAATTATGATGATCATCACATGCACAAGACTAATCAAGAATTTTTTTAGGCACCAAATAAGCAGAATGGATACTTTTAATTACCAATGAAATTTTTAAACTTTGCAGTTATATATTATCCTTTTGGACGACGTTTGGGGATCAACCCCATTTGGGATGAATAATCGGGTGAGGGTTACCCAACTTAGCGAGCCAGTTACCTTTTATCGGCTTTTCATCATTTGGTGCCAGCTTTATTTATTCTCAATCAATCACCTGCATGTGAATCTAAATTATGCCAGACTATATTGATAAACTACTCAAAGAGTACGTCTCAAGATTGCACTATGGTACAAATCTACACGTTAGACTCGTATCCTTGTCACGTTATTCTCAACTTCCTATCCTTAACCAATCATCCCTTTGTTTCTATATACTATTCCCGATCTCTATGAAATACACGCTCTTGAGCAAAACAAACAAAAACATTTTGGTAAAAATTTGGGAAAGATTTCAACTCGTGGATTTACACAGTAATTAGCATAAGAAAAATATTAAGAATAACAGTAAAGTAAAACTCTCCCAAACTTGAACTAAACATTGACCTTAATGTTTCAGAACAAACGCGAGAAAGTTGACTCATAGAGGAAAATGCAACACTAGTTGTTGCCTCCTAGCTTTCACTAGTAAGACTCCCTTTTTATTACATGCAAGCAAAACAAAAAGAAAAACTAAGTTATTAAAAGCATGGGTTGCCTCTCACGAAGCGCTTCGTTAAACATCGCATGGCTCAACAGTTCATCCCCTTATGGGGGTACTTCCTCTTCCACACCTTGTTGCTTGTCCTTTCCGCAACCCAGAGCTCATTCAGATCTAAATTATCAACCCCTTTGTGCTTCTAGCCACTTTTAACTTCCATCTTCTCAGGTCGGTGTTCCTTCTTCTTTCTCTTCTTTCCTTCTTGACTGAGCTTAGGATTTTTTATTGATGCACTTGAGAGATTATGCCTAAGACATATTTTGGGAGTGACTTTAAAATTTTACTTTTTCCTTCTACTTTGATCATTCCAACTGAAGATTATTTATTTCCACCTGCACCATGCTTCTTGATCTCCAACACTTTCAAGGTTATCTCTTCATCAAATTATTTTAATGTCAGATTACCTGTCTCGATATCAAAATTGCACCTACTGGTCATCATAAATGGTCGACCAAGAATTATAGGAGTCTCTTTATCTTCAAGGATATCCATGATCTGGAAATCAACGAAAAAGACAAAATTATCAATTTCCACCCTTACATCTTCCGCTATCCCGTATGAATGCTTGATGGTGTAATCAAAAAATTTAAATTTTGTCCCACTCCCGCATATCTTTTAAATACCAAGCTTTTTGAAAATAGACAAGGGCATCAAACTCACACTAGAACCAGAATCAATTAAAACCCTCTTGAATTTTTTCTTTTATGGTGCACGATATTGCAACAGATCCCGGATCCTTCAGCTTGATAGGAATTTTTTTCCCGAGTATGATTTCACACATTTTCTCATCAACAAGTACCTGTTCATCTTCTGTTGGTATATTCTTTGAGAGTACATCTTTCATGAATTTCTGATACAAGGGCATTTTCTCGAGTGCTTCAAAGAACGGTATGTTGATCTTCAGCTTTTTAAACAATTTGACAAATTTATCAAACTCTTTCTCTTTTGTTTCCTTCTTTTCCACTCGAGATGGATACAATAACTTGATCGCTGGTTTAATCTTCTCTTCAACTGTCTTTTCAGGTTATATCACTTCTTCCTATTTTTTCTTGTTCTGTCTTACTTCCAGCTATACGTCTATGATACTGTCATCAAACTTCACCTCATCTTCTTTTTCTCTATCAACTTTCCCACTCCTTGTTTTGACAGCATTCACATTCTCATGACTTTTCTGATTGCCTTGTGCTTGCAGCGATAATTGTTGTGCAATCTGTCCTATTTGAACTTCCAAATTTTTTATTGCAGTTGTGATGTTTCTGTGACTGCTCCTTGTCTCTTCTTGAAATTGAGAGGTATGGGCAGTAATCTTTTCAATAGATACCTCCCACTTTTCCTTCCGAGGAGCTTGTTGCTGCTGATCTTTCTAGGAGAAGTTAGGATGATTCTTCCACCCAGGATTATAGTGTTAGAATATAGGTTATTCTGCCTAAAAAATTTTATCTCCTCAATTTATTATGGATTTTCATGACATTGCATAGTAATGTGTGGTCCACTACAAATTTCGCAAACAACCTTCTGTACCTGTTGAGCCTGAGCTACCTGTTGAGTACCCTTCATTGCTTTCAGCTTTTTCTCAACTTCTGCAGCAATTGCTTCTTCAATTTTCAGTTGCTTCTTAATTTTTAACTTCAGATCAATCACCCCCTCTGGTTTACTCACAACCTTGTCATATATCTCTAGATGCTCATTTTCCTCAATGACTTCAATTATGTTCTTCACACCAGTAGTTGTTGTAAAGTTGGATGAGCTACCGACTGCTGTATCAATAAGCTGCTTTGTCTTCGTTCGGAGGCCACTCACAAACATCTGCATTTGTTCAGTTTGATCCATTCAGTGGGTGGGGCAAGCTA